ATGACGCTCCCGTAGAAAGCGGTACTTGACATCGCATGCACTGATGATTGTCAATAATAGAATGCGTAACAACACGTGTCGTTGCAGGCCTTGGCGCCGTAAGTGTAGTTTTGGGCCTGCCATATCAATGGATATTTTAGATGTAAATGGTGCAGAACAGCCTTAATTTAAACAAAAGCAACAAATTTTGATTGTTGTCTAAGTGTATGGGCTTCAGTGCACCTTTTAGGGAATATATTGCTGTTGCACTGAGCATTAGGTGTGGCCTGTCAGTGAAGGTTTGTTTTCTCTGTCTACTAACCTGTTTTCCAGTTTTCACCTTTTAGCTGTTAGTCGTTTTACTACTTTTACGTGTTACAGTTCTGCTGCTTTCTTACTTATAATGCTCGTCTTAGTATGCACTTATGCAGGCGTAGGGGATACCGCTGTTTGCGGAAGCGTAAGCTGTGTCTTAATGATGGCTGACGATTCCTACCTGGTGCTCAGCAACGTACGCATCCTAAGGAATAAACTGGGCGAACTAGATCTACTGGTAGCGATGTCTCCCGATATACTCGCATTCACTAAAACGCGGCTGTACCAGAGCGTCACTGGGGATGTAGTGCCGTCGTCTGGCTACGCACAGTTTAGCTGCGACCCATTCGTTTGGCGGCAAGACGGGGCTTCTGCATTAGATTATCTGGTAACTGTAACATACTGCATACTTACACGGTTCGGTCGGCAGACAAAGTTACCGAAGCGCTGTCGGTATTGATTAGCACTTCCTCGGTACAATGTACTGTCGGAATTGTGTATAGGAGTTCGTGGAGCTCATACAAAGTGATTCTTGGCTTTGGTTGCTGTCAAGCAGGCGGTAACTAAATAAGTAAATGAACGATTTACTCTCGACGATGAAAGACAAGCCATATAAACGCGCAAGCATTACAATGCAAACGCGCAACACCAGTATTGGCACAGAAAGGTAACGATTCAACTGGTGCATACTGGCTTGCTTCGGATGAACGTGGAGTATGTACGTGGTTGCATGTGTAATTAATCGTGTCGTGTAAAGGTGTTAGTATTAGTGGGATTTTGTGAGTTTGTGCTGTTAATGCGCCAAAATAGGAAGGGAGCACACAAAATCTTTGAAGTGGTTGTTGTTCGTTAGTCTTGTGAGATCCTCCGGTATTTCAAGACAGTGACGTTGTTTAGTAGCAAGTTCTATCAGCCACTGCACAGAGACTTTTTTAGGTTTTTATGAGGTAAACGCTCACCAGGCGAAACCCACCACATCCTGAAACCGTGGGTGGTTTCGACCCACCTGCAATCTTTTTGACAGACCTTTCTTGTTTCTCGGTGTTAGGTGCTTTTGCTGTGGGTCCTCACGATATATAATGTCTTGTATGGTTGCATCGGTTCATGAACCTATTTACCAAGTACATGGACGCCAAAGCACCGTCTATTTTGTACCTTGTTCCTACGAAGCCACCAGATGGCGGGCTATCCCAAAAACCTCGCGTTGCTAGCTGGGTGGTTCAGGTCAATCGCGTTCCAGCAAATAATTCGGCGACAGTGTCTCATGACATGATGGGTTTCCGCCTGGGAAGCATCCTCTCTATTAATTGTCACAAATATCTGCCTAAGAACATTGCAACATGGCGGATGTGACTCGTCACTAAACAATGGCCCCGCTGCTTGCTATTTGGGCGGATAAACACACCAAATAGGTTCTCCAACTCGAAGTCCAACTTTGTTCTTTCTTCGATAGAGAAGTTGGCAAACAAGAGCACAGACACCGGGTCAAATTAACGGACGCATTAAACGACTACTTGCACATACCCACAAACTACTACATGCCTACATACAAATGTTACGGATTGAGCTAAAATGCTTTGCTGCAGTTCCGGAGCTTGCAGGTTGTCATCAAGATGCTCATATCTTTACGGAAGTGCCACGCCCTGCTGAGAATAAACTATTCATTTATTTAGACACTTTGGGTTGCATCGCATATGGATCTCTCTTGGGTGCCTATGATAACGCGCATTTATCCTTTGGCTGTACTGTGTTCAGGCATCACCAGGATAGCGCTACGCAGCAACCCAACGTATGGCGTGCGACATGTTAAGCACTGCGTACCATGGCCTGTAAGTCAATCAACCGAGTGGAACGCAGTACGAAGGTCCAGGCATGTAACGGTGGTAGGTCTCTGGTAAAGTGGCTGTGTTCCAGGTTTTGACGGGATGTGTATATAAAAATTCACCCACCCGCTGCCAGGTCAAAAGCTAGCTTGTCATTTTCGGTACTGGAATTCGGAAATGGAAGAGTCTACGGAGTAAAATGGATGTCGATAGCGTGAACGCAACCGATTGGAGACCAAAGGCCCGGTTGCTGGGTACTCGAAGTGCGAGCAGTTCTTAAAATGGGGAACCAAACTGACTCCCGCAGGAAAATGCACATTCCTGCATGCAAGATTTTGGAGAACAATGTGGTTACCTGGATAATGATAACCGTACCATTATTTATGAAGCGCTCCTGAGTAAGTCTGTCTGAGCCGGCAGCCCATAAGCCTCCTATGTGTCGAATTACAAGACAATGTTCGGCTTCACCGGATAGATCAAGCATGGCGACCCATGGCGGGCAGGTAGGTTTGCAAGACCTAAGTAGATAGTGGGGGCCAACTTAAGGGGGAATGCAACGGTTCGGCCCATTGCTTCAAGCGTCTCCGTAATTTGGCAGTCTGCAAACCAAGCGCTTCGCACATGCTCTCACTGACGCAAGGCTTTTTGTGGTCAGTAGACTGAATGGATGAGAGAGCTTGTAAGTATTTCTTAAGAGAGCAGCGGCCTGCATGTCCGAATCGCGCGTTGTACACCAGGCTGCGCCGTCACTGCCAGGCTTCGTTTGAGCTGCCGAGTGAGAAAACGGCTCACTTAGCAAGACCAGGCACCAATGGAACATTGCTGCGGCTCTCAACTGGTCCAAAGAGCTAGTGGAGATCCAGGCCGCCTTAATAAGCTAAGGCCACAAACTTTCTTTCAAGAAGAGAGCTTGGTCTTCTGCATTCCCTGCTTTCGGTGGGTCGTAGTGGAGTGCATAAACCAGGGAAGCTAGATAGCAGTTAAACCGAAACAGTAAATAGGCTTTGTGGCATTTTCTACGTGCCTTTAGGAACACGCACACCAGGCTAGTTAATTGTTAGGGTAGACTAACACAGTCGCGCCCTCGCACTAATCAGAGTTCAGCGCGATAGACGGCCCTGTGCACTTACCACAGCATGTCCATGAGGTAAAAGCTCACAGCAGGGCCGGCGTATAGTAATAGCGTCAGTCATTGCTGCCGGCCGCCTCAAGCCGGGCAGCCTATGATGAAATTGATCAGGCAAATAAGCCAAAGTTCGGAATGGATTTGCTCGAGGAAGCCTCAGTAACCCCCATTATCTTGTGGCACAGACATTTATGCCAAAGGCTCAATGCAGGGCATCTGTAGCGAAACATCTTCCTCTAAATTGGCGGCTGTTGGGCAACGACGGTCATCTGCGTCAGTTGAACAAGGCTCCCTCCTCCTGTATCCTTTCCCTTCTCCCTGTCCTCTGTCCCTCTACTGAGCGATAGACATCCGCTGAAATAGTAAAGCTGTTGCTATGGAAAAAGATGCGGAACCACCGAGTGCTATTCGGGGTCGATAAAGTTGTCAGTTTGGGAGTCAATGGCTGAGAAAGTTGGACCGTTGTTCCATTCCCGGCGTAATCGATCAGTTGGTTTGGCGGTATGTAGGTAGAGTAGTTTGGCAGACCTGCTGCGACACCGCTACTTGTCGATTAGACGGAGCTGACATGAAAAGTACATGTGGGATGTCCCGCACTGGAAGGGCTTTGCGTCTTGAAACCTAACAAAGCTCCTGGGCCCCATAACCTTCCTCCATCCTTACTGAAGGATGTCGATGATTTATTCTCAGTTTCCTTACCTCGGTAGCTGCGTCACCTGTGGTGGACACCTAAACCGCTCGGTTGCTTCTCATAACGGCAAGGCCAAAACGGCTTTCCAGAGAAACAGCACATTTTGGAAACGGCGTTCTATAAGACTCACAGTGAAATTTTAAGTGGTTAGTGATGTGTTAGACCGGTCTTACTGGATGGATTTGTGAGCTGGCTCGTTCGCGGCAAAAACAAGATGTGTCTGCTTGTGTTTGACTACCAGTGCTGGCGGAGTATTGCTAAGGTCTAATAGGAATAGCGGTTGCGCAACGCTGAGGTCTGAAAGTTGTTTTTTCGCCTGGTGCGTTTATCGCTCTCTATTCACTGGCGTTGCATAGGCGTGTTTCGCAGGGTTTCTGTTTAGCGACTTCCACGGCGTGCATTTCACTCCCTGCCTGCTCCAAAGTGGGCGGAACCTCGAGGTGGCCAGTTCCTGACGCAGAACGATGGAATAAAGAAATTGATCTAGACGAAAGCAGGCTAGCGCGTGCGAGGCCGTATCAGACGTGGAGCAGTCAGTGGCAATCCTGTATTATAGTTTTCATGTCTGGTTGCCAACTTTTGTTCCACGTTAATTAGCCTTTCCAGTTATTGCATTCATTTTCTTTACATCCTATTTGCGTGCAACCCCACGGCCTCGACGTTTGCACCGTTGTTACTCGCGCGAGTTGAGTCGTGGAAACCGCATCCACCGCACCTTCATGTTCGCAATCTAGCTGATTGACTAAACTGAACTGGATGTGCCGTTGAGGAGGACTTAAGGTTAAGGGCTACAGTTATAAACCATTAGTCGGCTGTACGTAGACAATGTGAATGGTGTGTTGTGCAGTCACCAATAAATGGCGGTGCTAAAGCTAATTTGCCCGGTGCTACTTGGCACGCTCGGGCGGTGTCAAAGGTAAGTGTCTTGTGGTCGATGTGCTCCAACTAAAGCAGTCCGCCATCTGGCAACACGTACACAGCTTGTACGTCGTTTCCTGGCTCCAGTATCCTGGTCAACTGGTTCACCTGCGGTAATAGTGCAGTCACAACAAAGTGGATCCTACACCACTAGTAGACGTGCGGTCCCTTGGCACATGTGATCTCGGGACAACCCAGTCTCTGACTGTAATGAACATTGCAGTTGGTCACCCCAGTCAAGCTGGGTACGTGAATAACATCCAGTAACTTTTTCCAGACAGTCGTTAAGCGAGAGCAGCTGTGTTCCGACATTTTCAAGGCCAAGTAATATCCGTCTACAATGATCCATTAGGCAGTTCTTCATTATTAATTCTGGTCCGTTCACAGCATGCATTCATGTAGATTTCAGACTATCGGTAGTCACCTGCCGCTTGGATGCACACTTTGCGAATGCCATAGCGCTTCCACCAAACATGAGCCAAAGTATTCGGTTTCAGGTTTGACTCTTGTAAATGCCCTATTTTACGTGCGGCATTTAGAACAATACAAACCGTTCCCTCCTGGCCCATGATTTCATTGTGCCATATCTCGTCTAGCCTTGGAGTATTTGTACCTTTCACCGGTTAGTTTCCACTCTCTATCTCCGTGGCTTTCGAGACCAAAGGCACATGCTCTGTCTGCCATCAGCTTTGCAGTAACACATTCCTTCCAATAGACTTACCTACTAAATATGTCGTCCTATTCACGCGCGGTAAGTGAATAGTCTCCAGTGCTATAGCCTGTAGTCAACCAGCGTGTTATCCTTTCGCCGTCCATCCTTTTCCATGGACACTTGGCATATACCAAGATGGATATCATGGGAGATCTTGTCCTTTGCACTTCCCTAAGTGCATTGATTCACATCAGGTATCCTCACGCAAAACACAACCTTGCCTCGGAGAACTGACAACCCCACTTTTACAAGGCTTAAACCATTTCTTAGAGATCACTCTTTGTGGGTTGGTAGCAATTTACACGCAAACCTTTAAGGTCAAGAATATTTTTGAATGGTTGGAACAATATTAACCACACTACTTACCTCATCTCTACTACTCCCGTTCTTGATGCTGCTAATCATTCTACCGTGCACAATATTATAAAATGCTGAGCGTGCCCAAAAGGCGCGCCTCGCTTTGTCGAGGATAAAATATTTATTTATTTATTACTGTCACATGCCGCTATACTATGATTGCCCCAATTTTTCCATCAATGCGTCTTATTACTCCCTACGCCCCCAGTTGTCGGCTGATTGTGTTACTTGTCCAACTTGCTCTGTTGCGTCTACCGTGCTTGTGGCGTTCAGCCCAGCTAGAACACTCGTTGAAGTTTAAGCCGACACTAAGTGTGCGCCATAGTTTTGTACCTTTTCCTTCATGGCTTGCCCCCGCCCTCCGCCCGTTTTCCACTGGTTCACCTCACCTAGTCTCTAGGTGGCATGTGAGCAACCTCTACCTAGCTTGAAACCTCGTGGCCGTGTCAGACGCCAGTTACTTATATAAGTGTACATTACTTGTGCTTCCATAGCCTGCACTCTCTCTCAGCCTGTACCCAGTGTGGCTCACTGGTCTGCTGGGCTCTGATGCCTCTACCTTGCCAATGAGCAGCAGTGGCGTGCACTCCGTGACTGCAGTCCGCCATGCCCGGTGCGTCGTCCTGGGTGCGTCTGCAACTTACTTTAGGCGTGCAAACAGCGGATACGTAAATAAATAAATAAATAGTTTACGCTCGAATTTGTCGAGACACACCAAGCAAGGCATGATCAATATTTACATGCAATATTGCTTCGCAACAAACACGTTGCTATCGGTGTAGTCGGCAGTAAGCCGAAGGCTGTACAGGCTGCGGAAATTGTGTAAGCAATCATGAGGGATAGAGCCTTCATTGAATGACGCAAACGTTGGGTTCTAGCGTGCGTAGTGTAAACAGTCAGGGCACTATAGGTGTAGTGAAAACGATACATATAGGCAGGGTGTAAATGGCAATTGAAAGTGTCAGGGCAATAGTGAATTATGATTCTGGTCGACTTGCCAGTAGGTAGTTCTGGCCAGTGACTTTATTCAGTGGCGAGTCACATGCGCCACGTCGCAGTGTTGTTACACGGACATTTGTGGCTTTTTATAGGGAGAACACTTGCCAAGCGAAAACCCACCACGTCCTGGAACACTGTTAGAAATTTTTGTTCACTAGTTTAGAAACGGCGGACCAGGTTGTCGACTGATTTCACACCCGGATATCCGCAGTCAAATGGCCTTTAATTTCCTCCGTTAGTTGCTTAAGTAACTTGTGCAGGGCCGCCAACGTGGCTGAGGCTAATCAAGGATGAGGGCTTCACGAAGAATCGTCTTTGTAAGTGTCCAGGTGGGCAAAACGTCAGTTGCTTGCGTCTGGATTTTTCAGGTGTATGTATTCTTTTCAGGAGTGTGAAGGTCTCGAGTCCAGCTATTATCACTGGACAACGGTCATGGTAGTGAGCGCAGTTGTATCCGTTTGTTGTGCATCCAAGTGCTTCATAGGTCCTTATGGGTTGTCCTGTCCCCGACAAAAGGGGTTTCTCGGTCCAATGCTAGATCCCCAAGAAGTTCCGGACCTCGGAGAAAAGGGAAGGTGAAAGACAACCAAGGCCGCAACGAACAGGCGTGGAAAAAAACATTGTTAAAATCCTATGTTATAACATTTAGAGTGGAGAAAATGATGTACAATGTGCAGTAACGATTGTGTTGCAACTGTCTTTTGAATGTTTTAAGAAAGCACTGGCCCTATCAGTTGGCTGCTACTATCTACATTGAATATATAGCGTTGCGCCATTAAGCAGAAACGCAGTATCAGTTTACTATGATGCGACTATTGTATGGGAGGACAGAAAACAGTGTTCGGGGACCAGTGGCGTTTGAATGGTGGATGGACGGCTGGTGGCCAGCCTACGTCGAAAGAGATTCAAGAGATTCAGCGGATAGATAGGACTCAAGCGCTGAGTAAAAATTATCGGGGGATCAAGACAGAAAGACGACACGAGGGTACTAGGAGTATAGTGCTATGGCCCACTGAAATAGGTTAAGCCAGTGAGAGCTAACCTCCTACAAAGGTAAGTGTCGAAACCCTTGCTACAAAAACGGACCCAGATTACTAGGTGAGAAAGGATTGATCGATAGAAGTAAAGTATTAAAGATCAGTTAAAGGAAAGCCAACGTGGGGAACAAAGGTATAGGTAACGTCGCGCAGAGAAACGAGTCATTCTAGGGTGCTAAGAAAATGGGGAGAAATGAACACCTAGAAATGTGAAGCTAGCGGGCGTCTGTGTGCTGATCAGTGAGAGGAGTGAAGAAATAAGATGCTTAGAAAATTTAATTGACGGAAGGGCAGGGAATAGCCGGAATGCAAGGTTGCTTAGGTAAGGTTGCTTAGAGTATTCGAGCAGTGAGGCCTAACCGCAGCAGCTAGGGTGCTAAACTACTAGTTCCAAGCTGGATAGTGCCAGAGAATGCAAGCCCGAGAGTTGGAGGATTGCAGGTAAAAAGGTCTAAGACAATAAATTGGGTAGGGAATAAATGAACATCTAGAAAGGTGAGACAATAAAGCGGCTTGCGCTGAATATATGGATATGCCTGCACGAAATAAGTGAGATAAGAAAGGTTTCATGACGAAAGGACAGCGAACGGAAGAAGCCCAGGCATACGTTATGACTCTTAAATAGTTCAGAGAAAAATGGGCGAAGACGCGGCTACGCGCAGATAATAAGTTCACGCTGTGGCGCTAAAGGAATAAAACTATCGAAGACTAAGCCAGGAGAAACCAGTGAGATAGCTGCACTACAATTAATTAAGTGTCACAGACGAGTAACAGCTGGGCATTTAGCAAGTAGCAGCTGTGCACTGACGGGATGAGGTAAAGAAGGTCACCAAACGTGAGCTAAAAGGTCAAATGAAGAAAGACAACAGACAGGAAGAATGCAAGCGTACAGTGAGTTGATTGAAGGTGTCATTTCATGTACTGCTGAACCACGGCGTTGCATAGGTTCACAATCCATGCTATGATGCTGGGATGCTACTACTTTGGAAAGGGCCTGGGAAAGCTAATCCAATAGCTGGACGCTTGCAGGTGAAAAGTCGAAGACGTTATAACAATTAAGAGATATGCAAACGTCTAGGATAGCATGGCTAAGTAGCGGCTGCGTGCTGACTTGAAGCGTTGGAAGGAGTGCTAGGAGAAGGCTGAAAAATTTATATGGGAGGACATCAAACAGTCGGAATGCATGCATACATTAAGTCTGCTGAGGAGCTCGCGGCATATGAGTCAGAGGCATGTAGATACTGAGTCCTGTTAGGGTGATAAGATTTTAGTGGTAAGATAGACTGGGCCGGGAAGTGCCAGTGGAAAATCTGAAATCCTACAGGAGCATGCGTCACAGACGTTGCAGCAAGCAACGGAAAATGGACGTTTAGACGGGAGAGGCAATGGAGCAACTGTGCGCAGGCCACATGAGTTATGTTTGCTCCACAGAAGAGAGTTAAGAATGGTTTTATGAAGATAGGAGAGCGAACGGATGAAGCGCAAGCATACGATATAGTTGTTAAATAGTTTAAAGCATAAAAGGCGAAGACGCGGCGACGCGCAGATGATGAAATCATGCTGTGGTGCTAATGTAATAAAACTAGGAAAGCCTGAGCAGGGCGAAGCCGGTGTGGGGGCTGAACCACAAGTAATTAGCTGTCACAGTCGAGTAAGTGACGGCTGAGCATCAAGCAAGGAACGAGTAATGAATAATTGAACTTCTAGAATAGAGAGGCTAAGGAACAGCTTTGTGCAGACCACATGAGTTATGTTTGATCTGCAGAAGAGAGCTAGGAAAGGTTTCATGATGGATCGACAGTGAAGGGGAGAAGCGCAGGCATACAATACAGCTTTTGCTAGTTCAGAGCATGAGGACATAAGACGCAGCGACGCGCAGATATTCAAATCATGCTGGGGATGTGATGGTATATAGCTAAGAAAGCCTGAGGCGGGAGAAGCCAGTGAAAAGGACAAACCGCAATTATTTACGTGTCGCAAAATAGTAAGTGACTGCTGTGCATCTAGCAGGGAAGCCTGTGCCGGGATAAGCCGGTAAGATAGCTGGACTGCAGTATACGTAGGTTTCATAGACGTAGTGAATAATAGATAAATGAACGTCTAGAAAGGAACGGTTGCGCGCGGACTACTTGAGTTGTTTGCTAGACAGAAGAGAGCTAAGTTTGCATGATGAAGGGACAGCGAACGGAAGAAGCGCAGGCATTCAATATGGTTGCTAAATAGTCCTAGGCCTAGAGGCAACGCGCAGCGACGCGCAGCTAGCCAAATTATGCTACGGTTCTAATGAGG